ATTTTTCCCCTCCTCCGTTAATCGAATATGGTTGTTTGAATGCTAAAAAGGTCTCGGCGGATTTCTCAAAATCTCATGATCGGATTCCACATCCCGATCCTGATCTCGAAGATTCCATTGCGCAGGTGAGAACCAAATGGAGTATCTAGAAATCTGATTTGGTTTCTGATTCAGTAATGCTTGATCCAAATGTGTGAAATGGCGAAGATTACATTTCTTAGCTACTATGTGGACTGTTCCGATCTCACTTTCCTTTGAAATGTTGCCTTTGATCGTATTATCAAGCTATCTTCTTCTTCATACCTGACATGTGTTTCTCTGGTTATGGTTCATGTTCAGTTAGAGAAATTGATCCCTATTTCTGGAATATACGAGTGTCTCTCTTATCTTACGATGTGATAAATTGATCAATGGTGCGTGTCCTTGGCAATTTAGGTTTGGGAGCAGAGAACACGGGGAAATTCATCATTGTTCAATGGCCAAAAATTCAGGGTATGCATACGGTTTCGCCAAGGTTATTTGAGAGTTTCACCTACGTTTATTCGCATATAACTGCAAGGATCAGGAATAACATGAAAATGGACAAGATGCATTCTCTTGATGTTGTTTAATACTCAGCAGCTACCTCATTCAAAGTATTTAAACATCCACATAAATATTGACTTTGTTCAATAACCTTACTCCAAGTTAAATTTTCAGTATGGATCATATTGGTTAGATGGTGATGGTGGTAGCAATCAAGTGACACACGTCTGCCTTCGCCTTGGCCTGACAGATTACAGGTTTCTCATTTATATTTCTTTTGCATTGTTTGCATAAGATTAGGCCTCTAATTTATCATTTTCTGGTATAATGACTGGTGAATCATGGACATGATTTCCAAGGACTTTTGTAGGAACGAATTTGAGCTCTCTGTGGGAGAGGTTCCTTGTTACATCAGAGGGTATATCCGCTAAATCCCTGTCTCTGAGAAATTCTTGTGATCATTGCCTCTAGTTTTGTGTTGGAGAACTGGTGAGGTTCCAGGTGATTTGATCAGGTTTCTTATTGCTATAGTTTTCTTCTCTCTCGCAGATGACTCTGCAAGATGTCGACATACATCAAGTCCATTGGGTAATGGTGCAATTATTGAGACTTCTGACAAGAAGATTATTGTATTACGCCGGAGTAATAATGTAGGGGAATTTCCAGGTCACTACGTATTCCCTGGTGGCCATCCAGAGGTATTCACATAAAGCTTCATATTGTCTCTGTTTCTAACACTTTGGCATGGTTGATGAATTATAATCATTGCAGCCAAAAGCAGCAGGAATTGATTCTCATCAGCTCGAGAAAGATGGCGAGGTTTTAAACAAGAAGGTAACTCAAGAAATGTTTGACAGCATTACTTGTGAAGTTGTCGAAGAAACTGGAATACCTGCATCATCTCTTGTAAGCCAAACACATTTTTTTTCTATATCACATAGGAATATCCGGAAATGATCTGATTGATCTTCTATACAATTACAGAGCCCACCTCTTTTCATCGGAATCTCTCGGAGGGAGTTGAATGTGAGACCAGCTATGTTTTTCTTCATCAAGTGTAGTCATCATTCAGATGACATTCCAAGATTATACTCTCGTGCTGAAGATGGGTTTGAGTCAACACAGCTTCACACTGTCTCTATGGTTAGTTCTCTGGTCGATCGAGGAAATAAAACGCATGTTTTACTCTCTAAAATGTTATGATCTCCCATCACAAATAACTGTAATTTCTCTTTAATTATTGATCAGGATGAGTTGAAGACCATGACATTAAAAATGCCGGGTTGCCATCATGGTGGGTTTGCGCTCTACGAATTGATGCTTCAGCAACTCGAGAACATTAAGGAAATGCCTTTAACATCGGCATCAGAAGACGGTACATCAAAATAGATGAGCTATTAAATTGACTTATCCAACAGACAATTTACTAGCAATAATTTGTTGAATCCATGATGATGAGTAAACTATCTTGTAACTTAACCTCAAAAGCTCTTATCCAACATATCATTTGTATTGAAGATAAGAGGTTCATCTGTTGACATATCTAACCATACTAGATTCTTGCATTTAATTTTAAATAGGCACATCGACAATAAGGGTTCTGTAGAAGATACAACAGGGAAATCATTGAACCATTCAAAATCTCATGCAAACCATTATGGATTCATGCTTTCACCCAGCTTTGGATGAATTTTTTTGGCTTTGTTGGAAGTTCTTCCTGAAAAATGAAGATAAACTAGCTGTAGCAGCACGGCCGTTCTCTACACACAGGAAATAATCGTCCACTGAAACAGAACAAAAACAAAAGCGAAAATCAGAATTATAGATTATGCAGAAACATGTTCTTTGGAACACATCTCAGAAAAATGAAACGTATGAACACAATAGACCACAGAGAATGTGGCTGCTTAAAAACACATTGAACATAGTGAATTCTATTCAAGAAAGAGAAGTTATAACAGTACCTGACATTACTCCATTTGTAACTGATGTAATGATCCCATGCTCTACCGGCTCATCTTCCACTACTGATGATCCTTTAGGAAGAACAGAGAGAGTTGTATTTGGAAAGACTAAATAAGCGAAGGCCGTCATTTTCTGTCCATTGTAGTTCAAGTTAGTCTAACCAACACCCAAAAGAAAAGACAAGAGCAATGGACAACAAGGTTTTTTAATTAACCTTTTCTTCAAGCTTGTTTGGATCGAGTACGACATATCCCTTATCAGCCAGGCAACAACATATAGCAACTGACGAATAAAAATGCCGATGAAGCAATTAGAAACACCACACAAAGTAAATTAGAGAAGAAGCATCAAGTTGCAAAGATGTACCAGCAAGATGCTTCATAGGAATTCCTGCATCTACAAGCGCTGCACATGCTGCATTTATGGCGCACGGTAGGAGCTAAATAGAATTGAATCAAGGAACAAGCAGCCAAAACTGTCTTTTAAATTAATGTAGAAAATATCTTACAAGTTTTCACTACTAACTACTCTAAATGCCTAAATCGGCTTTGCTTATACCGGATTTTAATTCTGCTTGAGACAACATCATTAAATTGTTACCGAGGAATCATAGAAAGGATACAGAACCATCATCATGTACAACCTACACAGCAAGTAAGGAATGACAACATCAGATACAACTCGAACTGATAAATTGAAATTCTTACTAGATCGGACAATTATTACGAGGGAGCAGAGGTATTGAGATGGATTACAAATCATTATACACAACATCGAATAGCTTAGTCACCTGAATTATCACTGACGTGGTGGTATTAGGATTAACTGTCAAAACACAAATACTCTGTATCGTCTTTTTTAGTATCATCTCATACTCCTTTTCGACTTTTCCTAAAATAAGGCAAAGTAAAAATCAGACAGAAAAATCTATGTCCTACCCAAAGGAAAACCAAGAATCACCAGTACAACAAAACAAGATTCAGACAAGATCAAACTGAAATGCATTATGATACCAATCTGCCCGGATTTAGGCTTCCATATGACTTCAAAGCAAGCCTTCTCAGGATCCTCGTTCTTCTTCGTTCCTGCTTTAGGTCCATAAGCCGCAGCTAGAACTTTCGTATCCCCTGAAATAAAACATTAATAATGCATACCCAATTTAAGAGAATGATTCCAAAAAGTTTGTACCATCCGAGTTGAACCAAATACCTTGCGACCAGCTAGCAGAGCCATGAGGACGATGAAGGATGCTACGGGAACAAGCAAGAGGTCTCAGTTGATTCGGCGTTCTGCCATCTTCTCTATCGATCTCCATTGCTCCAATACTTGTTCACCGGCGATTTGCAGTCCACGACGAACTAACCAGAGAAGAGAAGAAGAACAAACTGAGGAATTAGGGTTTTTTCTTTGGTTAAGTTTTAAAACCCTCAATTCAAATCAAATTAAAAGTGTCTTACCTTGTACCGAGAACCGACCGGTCCGGTTTTTAAAATATTGGTCTAATCAGTAAAGACGGTAGGGGAAAGAAAGATGCTCAATTCGGAGTCTTGAACATATTAATTAATCAAAATCCTGCGGAGAAAAATCTGAGTAACTGACGGAAACAAAATCCTACGATTCTTTGCATCGATCAATTCTGATCTGTATTGCAGCGATTACGCGAGGAAGATGGATGCTGAATTGTTGGAATTGCAGCGACAGTTCGAGTTTGCTCAGCAGGTGAAGTCAAGCGTCAGATTATCGGATCGAAATGTCGTCGAATTGGTTCAGAAGCTACAGGAGCTTGGAGTTATCGACTTCGATCTGCTTCATACCGTCACCGGGAAAGAATACATCACTCAGGTACGGTTTCTATTTCGTTTTTATCTCTTAGAAATGGAGTGATTTAAGGATAACTCCGCTTGTTGCAT